CTAGATTCACTGGTGGGGAACTAAAATTCAACTTAGCATTCACCGGTGGGCGGTGACTACATGATCGTGTTTGAATGGTCATTATGATATATCCTAGTTGTCATCACAGGCACCCCCTCCCCTAATAGAAGTAATAAGGCCTAAACAAGAGATCCCAGATGGATGTTTGGGGCCTAACATCATAAGATCTTCATTAGTTGTGTCGACTTTTGATTAAAACCTCATACAGCTGAGTTAACGTTTGACAGTGTCAATTTTTTAAAAGTTAAATCATCATTTGAATTATCAATGAAAATAGAAATGTGTAAAATATATATATATATATCAATCTGCCCGAAGAAGCCCTAGAAGGCAGAAAGGCCTAGCGGACGATCTGAAAAAATTATGTTTTTATTCTATATTTTCCTTCGCAAGGACTTATTTATTTATTATCTACTATATATATATGTATATAAAACAAAAAAAGTTTCTGCTTTCTGTCACCCATATTTTTACTTCTGACCAAACGAAATATCATAAAGATCGGTCAAGTACTTCTGGAGAAATAATGATAACAAACATTAACCGTCAAAATTGAAGATTGCTGCCTGGTGGCCATCTTGTTTTTACAACAAGTCTCAAAATGAAACATGCACAACTAAAGACAAAAGTAACACCAACTTATGAAATTTGAGAAAGACCTGTCCAGTACTTGTTGAGGAATGTTGATAACAATCTTGAACTGTCAAAATCCAAGATGGATGATTGGTGGCCATCTTGTTTTTTAACCAATCAGTTTTAAAATGAAATATGCACAACTAAGGACCAATGCAAACTGTGTAATTTTAGAATGATTAAAATTGTTACAGTGCTCCTTGAGAAATAGTGAAAACAAAACTTGAACTGTCAAGGTCAGGTCATCTTGTTTTTATGGCGTCTCAAATTGAAACATGCACAACTATTATAAGGACCTGAAACTAAAGGAAACCTATAAGGAAATTTGAGAAAAATCTGTCAAGGACATCTTGAGAACAAGTGATAACAAGATTTTGTTAAGGACGGCCAATGGACCACGGACCAACGATGAAGAATGATGAACAGCCCACTTGAGGATGGTGGACTAAAAATGTCCCTTTATCACTTCATGTTAAATTCTTCCTGTTTATGTTTGAAAGCTTTGTTAGAGAAACAAATTCACTGAAATTGCACCAGAATATAGTAATACATTGCTCAGTGGAAACATTAATTTTGTTTATATCCAACTGTGTCAACTAATTCACCTCTGAAATATCATAATGAACTATGCCAACCTTAAGATTGGAAGAGTTCAAATGTGTCTTCAGGGATGAATAAGTTAAACTAATTAAACAAGTTTTGAATTTCCTGAGATGAAAATACATCCCTACGTAATAAAACAAGCAAAATATCCTCTTAATGACAGATATGAAAATATATCCCCTCAAACTTATGATTGGTCTATAATGGTATAAACCCTTTATACATATAATAATTAGATTATATATAAATGTAATATCTACCCTGGGTACGTTCTGTCTATGTACCGTATATGTGTAACTATTTGGAGCTCAAAGAAGACAGTGACAGGGAAAGATCTAGAGCATTGACCCGGAACTCCTATTCATGGTGAGTCGCAAGCAATGGTAGAAAAAAATGGGTCGTCCCTGACAGGGAAACATTGAATAGCACATACCCAGTCAACATCGAAAGGTCACATACCACAAGGCCTGCCAACCTAAGATATATATAGATACTCTTAAGAGTCTATAGACATCGTAGCTTCTACGTTTTATAGCTACCTGAAAAGTCTGACACTCATCCGACCACGGCCAGAGGCTGTGTGTACATTAAATAGGTATATTCATATTTCTAACTCATTCACCCCTGAAAGTTCATAATGAACTATTCCAACCAATAAATTGGAAGAGTTCAAGTGTGTCTTCAGGGGTGAATGATGCAATATATCTCAACAATCTTGTAATTGTTTTATGTTTTTTAATATCTCGACAATATTTTCAAAACGGTGAAACCATTTTCAGAAATTCTGTTTCTTAGGTCAGAAAACTACCAAATAAGACTTGGTATATTATGACATCCTGCCTAATCTGACCGATTGATGTCGTGTTCTAGTGAAGGGTTCAGATTGAATAGGTTTCACTGTATTGAAATTTCTTTATTTTATCAGTTTTCCTTTTCTCTACCCTGAAATGCTCCACTATGAATTTGTCGAAATAAAAAGATTGCAAAGCTAAACTGGATGATGATGATGATGATGATGATGATGAAATCTAACAGAATAAAACTGTATGTGTATGCATGTAATTATATAAGCATATATCCAATATGCTTCTGCAGTTTTATGAGTAATTCATACATATAGCTTCAAAGATAATTTTACATGCATTTTCTACTGCTGCATCCAAATATATACTCTTTTGTGATTAACAAGTCTAGATCTCCTAGCTTAGAAATGAAAAATATAATCTCCTTGCCTAGAAATGAACTACTGCGGTAAGTATTTAGGAATTTCAACTAATGCCTTAAAAATAGTAATTTTTATTCCCTGCTATAACCCTTCAGCAATTAAGGTACATCAAACATCAAATGTATATACGTACTGGTTGTCAGTATAATGTGAGTATAGGCAGAATTAATCCTGTCAATGTGCTATGTAGGTGCCTTCTGCATGGCACCATGTAGTTCAGTGAAGTAGCACTCTAAACTCAGCATCAGATATGTGCTATCACAAGCAGGGAGATTCACCAACATACCCTGTCTCCGGTATACACAAGCATAAATTATACAAATGAAGGCATGTCCTAAAATAACATTGTAGCTATTTATAGAAGGCTTAACCATATAAACCAAACTAGGTAAACAGTTCAAAGTCTCATAAACATTCCTAATTAAATTAAGGAAATTCTTATCTTCAGTAATACTTTCCAGCTTAAAAACTCAAATTAAGGGTTTTCCTTAAATTAAGCATCATTTTATAAAGCACTTATCAAAAATAATTCTCAAAAAAATAACCATCAAGAATAACATTTGTTATGTAAGTCATCAGTAAATTACGAAGGAATAGGTGCATATATATAGCCTGGAAAAAGGTTTGGGGAGACTTACATTATATAGGATAATGTACTTTACATTTAGGTTGAGATTATATATGTTGAAAAAATCTACCTTTTATACAATTTTTCTCTCTCAAACCTGCATGTTCGTTATCCTATGTAAGATGACAATAATAACCAAACCAACAGTTTTAAATAAAAAAAAATACATTTCATTACTATAGAGTGACATATTACCGGTCTGGAATCAACATTGCACCTTTATAGACTTTGGTTAAGGAGTTACTCTGAGATTACAGGTATACAGGAAAAGTCATAACTCATTTCATATGCAATGACGTGTACAGGGACTTCCACTATGTAATGACGAAATCAAAGGGTGCAGAGATGCGATATCAAGGGCTGACCCCGGGGATTTCTAAGATGACATGCTAAGGACCGTCAACTTTTTTCCCCTAAAATTATGTTACTTATTGCCATATTGTGTTTTACTTAAGGCTGTGATACGATCTATTTCTAACTTATTGAAATATCTGTTTGCTTTAGTTTACAACAAGGATTTCAGTTGACTATTGTTATTTTGCTATTTCAGACGTCAAAAAAATTTTCCCCTTATTTTTGGAGAGTCAAAATACATTCTGTACATGATTGTTAGCACAAGCATTTGAAAATATAAATTAAATAAACTTATCATTTATGACCAGCATTTCTACCTCAGATTCCATTTACTTACATTGTACATTTGTATCTCTGATGTTTTTGGATTAAAATAGTGTTTTTTGCTTAACACATTATTTTTGTGTATGTAGACACTATAGTTTTTATTTTATCATCTGCTATAAAATTTAGTTGCTTTTAGTATTCAGTTGTCCAAACTATTTTACTAAGAACGATCTGTTTGGGAGTAAATCTAATCATATGTAGTTAGACATTAATTGTGACTTCTTGAATGGCCAGGATTGAGTTACAGTCCATCTTCACACTTTAGTTTGGCCTTGTTGCACTTTCTCTTTCCTGTTACAATTACAGGGTGACTGATGGTTCCTTACATCCTTGTTTTTGTTATCAAAGTGTCTTTGCTGACTACGTTTATGTGTAAGACTAGAAAATAATCTCTTCAACTACAATTTAGTCCTGAAGACTACTTTACCAATCAAAACCTAGTGTCTTAATCTGTACACCAACATTTTATTGAAAACAATGCCTTCTAAATGAAGTATATTTTATCTATCGTTCACCAGTCTGCAACACTGTGTATTTACATACAACTTATATATATATAATCAGGTCCAGTACACTCTGCCATTTGAGCTATATAGCTATAAAGACCTATATAGCTAAATCCACCTATAAATTATAGCTGTATTGAGCTATAATTTCTCAGATTTCAATTTTCATTAAATTAAATCAAAGTCGCATAAAACAATAAAGTTTATGGTAATGTTGACTACAAAAAGCATACAGTTACATGTTTATTTTCATTTTTTCATAAATGTAAAATTTCCGATTTTTTTACATCATTCTTTTTTTTTTAAATAATATTTATAATTGATGTCTTTTGTTATTATCAACCTCATGATACGATCTTCTTTTAAAAGCGACTTTGTTTCATTTTCCTTAAAAAAGAAAATCACTTGAAAATAGCTCAAAAGACCTATTTCAGATAGGTCAATAGAGCTATTATAGGTCTTCACAGCTATATAGCTCAATCGGCAGAGTGTACTGGACCTGATAATGTCAGATATGTTACATTGTATAACCTGCTGTCAATACACAAGGTGTCAAGTAGAACAGGTGCGCGTTTTTATTGCCATGTTTGTGCTTTCAAAATGATGCTTACGCATTAACGAAAAAACAGGCTGATATGGACACCAATTAAATTACTTAATCAAATTAATAATATATATTTAGGGTAAAAAACGACAACTTTACCTGGATTTGCAGACTGCGCCTGTTTATATCTCATGACATGGAACTAACCTGAAGCGCTCGGACATTATCATTCTCAAGCAGATGGATATGCCCATAAGTTTGAACTAACAGCAGCACATTAGTTACGTTAATACAAGGGAAGTAACTGTGTAAGAGAGCAAATTACAAACATGACCGTCACGTCAAATTATGAAAAGAAATGAAGATTTTTTATTAAGCAATTATTTCAGTGTTATTTTTTTCATTTTTTTACAGTTAAACGACTTATTTTGTTTCGTAAGTCCAACTTCACTGAAATGTTTCCATTTACATCGGCCGTTGTGTGTCGTTCCTTTACCTGTCCTTTGGCGCTTTTATTATAAAAAAACGAAAACAGAACGTAACGTGCTCTGTCGACAAGAATTGTTGTAAGTTATAAATTCAATATCTTGTCCGTATTCACTATTGATTGCAAGTTGTCCATTGTTATAGAAAGTAGTACATTCAAAAAAGAGACATATATAATTATTACTTCAACAATTGCTAATCATTCTCCTAACTCATGTATCGATAACTGCTAAAAACAGTGGCACATGTGCATAAGCTTAGATATACTGGTATACGCTGAGTAGTGTAACTGTTATCTCGATAATATTGAACTAAAATCTGTCCACCAATAGTTCAGCCCCTCCCCCCTGGACTGTTTTATAAATAAACTAACCTTGGCTCAAAGCCTGGACCTCAGTAGGTGTGTGTCGATAGACTAATTTGTTTATTTTTGTAACAATAACAGGAGAAATGCTACCTCCAAATTTTGGGGTTCGAACCAGGGACCCTCCTAATTTTAGGTGGACACTCTACCTTATTGAACTGACGATCAACCCAGTACTTCTCCTGTCCTTTTACTTTATCTTCGCTTCCGAAGACAACAACGTAACCTTATTCGGGTCACACACAACCCCCGCCCCCCCTTGCTTAGCCTTAACCCATTATTTGAAACAAAGGTTGGCAAGTTCTCCAATTTTGTAACAGGATCGGGAAAGAGAAATGCAACGGCCAGACTGGGGTCCCCTTCATAACTCTAGATGGACGCTCAAAAGTCGCTCTACCGATTGACCTGCCTGAAGAATATTTTTAGAGATAAATATATATAGTCTTTTGGATCTGTCTTGAGAGTCTTTTAATCACTAGTTTTTCCTACCAATTGAGCTAAAGGCAATTTAAAAGTTTTCTTTTGCCACATCGTAAAGAAGGGACAAGATTTGCACCACTGACATATATATGTTACTAATGTCTGAAAAGTGCTGATACACAGATCTTGGTTGTTTCGTGCAATGTTGTTTTGCCCTTATATAAATATATATTCATAAGTTATGAATATCTGTTAAAACACAGGTGACCAGAAAAAATATCTCTACTTTGTATGAACATATTTTTAAGTTACAAAAACCTTTTAAAAATTTTTTTCAGCTTCATCCAACTTAATAACAATTGGGCCCTTAGACATCAGAGATAAATCACATAATTAGATTGCTAACAAGGCAGATAGACTCAACTAATCCAAAATGTCGCTAGCAGATGAACTTATCGCAGATTATGAGGATGCTGATGATGATTTGGATGAACATGAGGCAGAGGTGGAGTCCATGGACATTGCAGAGGTCGATGAAAAGGCTGAAGTTAATTACCAAGATAAAGAATCGGTGAAGAGTGTAGCTAAATTACGGGACAGTGAACAAGTATGTCCTAGCTATTCTATAGGTTCACACTATGGACCTGTTATTAACATGTTTAATCACTTACAATACTTATTCAGCATTAAGTCCATGCTTGTTGATAGCCCATCAATATTCATGACAATTCATGATTACCAGTATCATAAATGCAAACAAAGGCTATACTTCATTGTCCTGTTATAAATCTTCACACTCTTCGTCTAAAGTGGTGTGGAAAATTGTGATGAGGGATATTTTTTAATGCACATGCACTGAAATTATTACACTTACCATATTTATCCAGCAATAATATAAGCCCAGGCCAGGTAATTAGCCCCCTCATTTTCATATATCTCATTCACCCCTAAAATTTCATAATGGACTATTCCAACTTTTGAATCGGAAGAGTTCAAATGTGCCTTCAGGGGTTGATGAGATATATACTGTAACTCTTAAATTTCTTTGATGATACTGATGTTACTGTATATTCTTTTTTTTTTCCTTTCAGCTTGCAACTATTCTATCCAACATAGAAAAATATGCATCACAACCAAGAAGAGATAACGGTAGTGTATAGTTATTTTCTTATGCTTGCATATAAATACTTAGAGACCTATAAGTTTTTATGGCAAATCTTCATCCGTTTTTCATTTTATTAGTTTGATTATGTTTGCATAAAAATTAGAAAAAATTCTCTGCAGAGCTTTTTTTGACTGAATTTTAAAATTGTTTGCCTGAAATATTTTGCCCACCGAAGTATGTGCTCTTCAGTGCATGGTAAATGCTATATTTACTGGCCAGTGTTAATTTTGTCGTGACCATCACATTGGAAATATTATGTATTATTAGCTATCTTTATTCATGTACAATCATAATGAGTTCACTTTTATTAAGGAAGCATATAAAAGGACAGTCAAATCCTGATTGCATTGAAATGGAACTAATTTTGATCGACTGAACCCCTCTTGTTTTGTGACAGATCAATCTGTTTTGTGACTGACCAATCTGTTTTCTGACTGACCCCTCTTGTCTTGTGATTGACCACTCTTGTTTTGTGACTGACCACTCTTGTTTTGTGACTGCACTCTTGTTTTCTGACTGACCCCTCTTGTCTTGTGACTGACCACTCTTGTTTTGTGACTGACCACTCTTGTTTTGTGACTGCTCTCTTGTTTTCTGACTGACCACTCTTGTTTTGTGACTGCACTCTTGTTTTCTACCAAACCAGAGACCACTACTCCAAAAGGTTCCTTGTTTTGTGACAGATCACTCTTGTTTTGTTACTGACCACTCTTGTTTTGTGACTGACCACTCTTGTTTTGTGACTGACCACTCTGTTTTGTGACTGACCAATCTCTTTTGTGACTGACCGCTATGTTTTGTAACTGACTAATCGCTTTTGTGACCGACCACTCTGTTTTGTAACTGACAACCCTACTCTGTAACTGACCATCTTATTTTGTGTCCTTGTAGTGGCTGGTCCAGTGGAGGCTGATCCGGAGTACAAAGTCATTGTGGAGGCTAACAACATCACAGTGGAGATTGACAATGAAATAAGTATGTACATACATGTATGTGGTGATTTTCAAATACTCAGAAATTAGTATCATACGCTATAGCAGCTCCTTTCTGTAAGGAAAACATTCTGTAAGGAAAACATTCTGTAAGGAAAACATTCTGTAAGGAAAACATTCTGTAAGACATTCTGTAAGGAAAACATTCTGTAAGGAAAACATTCTGGGAAATTTAAGTCAAACACTTCAGTGTCTATAATGTTGTGATTTACCTCTCAATATAAATTATTGTTATTCCCAATTTATTTATTAAATGTCCCTCATTTTATATCCCATATTTCAAAGTCCTCGTTTCCCTAGCAATTCATTTATAGGTTGACATCAAGATTGCACTGTGAATGCCTTTACAATGAAATGTTTTCTGTACTGAATGTAACTCAGTAACTGAAAATTTCTACATTTCTATACAGTATTACGTATACATCCTTGTCAAGAGTTATCTCCCTGAAATGTAACGTCTGTCAATATTCTTGCTTTTTGATATCTCATGCATTCTCTTCTTTATTGAATACATTTTAGTATTATGTCACTGTCACACTAAATTGCAGTAATCCTGTTTAAATATGTTCTATGTTAGGTACATTACCATTAAATTTTGACTTGGATGTGGTACAAAAATTGGTATATCTCAATTAAATGGCTATACTTGCATCGAAAATGTTTCTCAAGTGTATAAATTGACTATATCATTTATTAAAGTGTCTGCAGCTAGCTTTAAGTGTAATAAGAATAAATCATAGATCAGGGATCCAATATCCATTTGACAGTGAACATGGATTACCTCAGAAGGTATATTGTTATTAATTGGAAGATGAACTAGAAGTGTAGTAATTCCTTTCAATAAAAAATGTCTCCATCTACTTCGGAATCCGATGTGGCCATACATTTCTAATGGAACTTTATATCTACACAAAAATGGTTTTAACATGTTTCTACCTTTGATTTGGGTGGTCGGGTGGTGCAGTGGATAGCGCACTTGCCTTTCACCAAGGCGGCCGGGTTTGATTCCCCCTATCGGACGTGAAAAGGTTGGGGCCACCTGGGCGACCACGTGGGTGTTCTCCGGGTACTCGGTTTCCTCCCACACTAAGACCCTGTTGCGCTAACATCCGGGCCAACAAGAGTGATTAATATAAGTTGAAATTGTTGTTAAATAAATAAAGTTTATATACCTTTGATTATTTGATGATCTTTACGTTGTAGATGTAATTCACAAGTTTACGAGAGACCACTACTCCAAAAGGTTCCCCGAGCTGGAGTCCCTCATACAGACCCCTATGGAGTACATAAAGACAGTTAAGGTAACGAATTTAAGGAAAGGTAACGGTAGAATTTCATTTAAAACATGGTTGAAATAATAAGTTCTCCTATGCCTTAAGTTATGCTGCACATAACATGACAGGCAGTAGTTCATAGTTTGCCAAATCGTTGGATGCAAAATCGTAAATGCTGATGATCTTGCAGCGTTTTTTTAGTGAAACACTTTAGCATTGTGGCTCACCCCCACCTGCTGTGAGTGGAGAAAGTTTGGTCAGGGTAGGGGATTTCAAATTCTGTGATGTCATGGTATTGCACTATAAATGATTGTGAGCTGTTGGAAGTGCAGACCCATACCAAACAGAACACCTATACAACCTGCAGCAGGTACATCAGCTCACTCTCACACATATACAAGGTACAAAAGGGGATCATGTGGTAAGATGTACTTTGACTAAAGCTGTTCCAACACTTTCTTGATTGTTTTGAATTTATATGTCTGTCATTTCTAGAATAGAAAGCACCCTTAACTAATTTCCTTGAGAAAAGAAAGGCAAACATATTTCACAAATTTCTTTTCTGTTGTCAGGAACTTGGAAACAATATTATGGAAAATTCAAAGAAGAATGAAGTCCTCCACGCAATTCTGGTGCCAGCCACTATAATGGTAGTTAGCGTGACAGCCTCCACGACACCTGGGTAAGTGTGGCAGCCAGGCCCGTATACATGAAACCGTTCTCAAGCTGACACATAAGGATTTTTTGCTCACACTGACTTTCTTGTAACTCACTTAAATCATGTCAAACGCTCAATAAGTCAAATGTAAACATTGAAAAAACAGTATTTAACACTATTGAGTCTCTTCAATTTCTTCCAGATCATTGACAAATTAAGATTTTATCATTAATTTGTAACCAGAACAAGTGTTTATAGGCTCGAGCACAAAATCTATGCTTGAGCATGAGAACAGATTCATGAATATTGGTCCAGGTCTGTAAAATTACTTTGATAGATTTGTGGTAATCACAGTCGTGTTGAACGTGTGGATTCATCTTACCGCAAAATCTGGAACATACCAAAGTCATTCTTAAATTGGTAGTTGTTGTTCCTTGTTAATTGTTCAGCATTTAGGATACATACAATTGTAAGTGCAGCCACTGGTTTACCCATAGTATGACCCCTGGAACCACTTAGTTATACCGTAAACTATATTGTGAGCAGGTGGTGTACTACGTACCTGATATGCTGGGTGCCTTCAGCATATTTCATATAGATCTGAAAGTACACCTACATATCGCCTCCACTAGCATGCACGCATGTATATTACACATATGGAGGCAAGTGTACAGTGTAATCGTTTTTAATCTATACCCCTGGTACCACATAGCTTGGTATTAAGTTTGCCTGCAAGTTTCTGGTAGTCTACCTGTCTTTATCGTAACCAAGCTCTCTGGCCAGTTTAGACAAAACTGTTTGAAATGGTTCACAATTTATTTTTGGTGTTTGCACTCAGAAAATTTCACTCATGGATTAAGATATATCATTGAAGCACTCACATGTACAGTAAACTCCATTGTTACTTTTTGTCATATATATTAGTTTGAAAATAATTCTCTTTGCTATTAAATTCCAGGACGAGTCTAACTGGAGAAGAGTTGGCTACAGTGATGGAGGCCTGTGATATGGTAGGCAGTTATTTCATACATAAAGTGTATTTGATTGTCTCCTGTTGAATGCTGTAGATGTTTTACAAGTACAATGTAATAATACTGTAAATGTACTAATGTTAGCGCACTTGAATTTGAGCCCAGTATTGAATTGTAACAGATAAGCACACTGATGCATATATAGACACAACCTCCAATTTGTTTGCAATCAAAACCATACAAGGAAACTTCAAGTAGCTTAATCATAATTTAGAGCGATCTTTAAAGAGTAAAGTAAGATTACTACTAAAAAATATATGTTTACAGACTAAATGGAAAAAAATCTGTATATTCTGTCATTCAGGTGAAATATAAGTGATATTAAACAAAAACAAAAACAAAAAGTGATAATTTTTAAAATGTGGCCCATGTTTTATAATCCTTGTTTTTCTTTATCTCTTGCACATTAAAAACGAATATATTTTGGACAACAGGCGATAGATTTAACAGAACATAAGGCAAAGATATTCACCTATGTGGAATCGAGGATGACCTTCATAGCACCCAATGTGACCATCATAGTGGGAAGTTCAATAGCAGCTAAACTCATGGGTAGGTATATATACGTACTTGGACGAATGTCAGGTGTTTCACATAGCTGTCAATCCTCCCAAATAATGAGGGAGGGAGACTCCCTCATGTTACCAATCTCCTTTGAAACTCCCTCATTCAAGTCCAAACTCACACAAACTCATAATATCCATCCTGCGGTGGTCAAATGATCTCCTAGTAACTAGTGTGTGTAATGATCATAACAGGCGTGTCTGAATCAAATGATTGCTTTTTGGAGTTATTTTGATATGTTGAAAGGAAAAGATATAATTAGCAAAGCAGTTTCAGTCGCGTTTCACGCAATTTTCTCCCTCATTTGGAGAAATTTAAAGCGAGGGAGATTTCCCTTTAATATTGGAGGTTTCAGAGGTTGACACCTATGGTCACTCTCAGATGTTATCATGTTTTAATATTGATAAAATGGTAGAATTGTGATTGATGATAAGGGTGTCTCAAGTTTAGCATAGAAGCCAAAGTTTCAGAATGTTACCATCAAATGTTAATTGTACTCGAATCAAATTGATCAGTTCACTTTCGAAAAATAATGATCATTTTATTATGTAAAGCATTCACTTACCCGGTAATGGAGGCAGTAAGTTTCTACCAACACATTTAAGGGAGTTGAAGACAAAGTCTGCAAATATATATAAATCTTGGCAATGGCTTGAATATACTTCACATGTAAAATACTTTCAGTTGTCGCAATTGTCGTATAAATACCATCCTCGATACTCCAGGGGTTACATTCACCTTTGCTAGATCTGCACCCCTGGATTATGTCGTAGCAAAATTGAAGGCACTAAGATAGCTGTTTGATTGGTCTCGGGTTAAAAAAAACCTGACCAATCGCTAGGCTAATACCTGTCCTTTGAAGATTACAAAGGAAGTGACAACCGACTTCAAAGCCCGTCAATTCTTATGTGACTGCGAGAATTTTTTGATGTCCATCACAGGATCAAACTAGTCTGTTTGTCTCATCAACAAGGTGGCACACACCGAGCCTTCGATTTTCCTATGACATACTCCAGGGGTGCAGAGAGCGTAAGTGAGCGGAACCCATGGAGTGTCGAGGATGTATAAATACTGGACACTTACTAACCATGGTTTCATCAAAGGATTTCACTTGTTCATCATTTAATGATCAAAGGATTTTCGTCTTCAACATAAGATAGCAGTTTTTGTTTTAAAAAAGGAAGTGGACTTTTTGTACAAAACATATGTAATACCAAACAACCATTTTTGGCACCCTTGTCAAAAACTCACCTCTAAAACAGTTTGAATGAGTCAACATTTCTATAAATGAATTTATTTTCTGATCACAGGTACAGCAGGAGGCCTGACCAACCTGTCTAAAATGCCCGCTTGTAACGTCCAGTCCCTGGGAGCCCAGAGGAAAACCCTATCCGGCTTCTCCATGGCCTCCATCCAGCCTCACATGGGCTTCATCTATAACTGTGACATTGTACAAAAAACACCTCCGGTACGACATTAATAAACTATGTAGTCGTCTTATAGTAGGAACTAAGTTTGTAAAACCCAGTAGCTATATGTATAGCCATTAGTGAATTGGGAAAGAATAGCAATGTTTTTATTGAAATTGGGAATACATTCCTCATTTTTTGGTCATTTGGGGGAAAATAGGGCACTTTTTAGCTACGGGAAACAACCTGTATTCGGCAGTAAAACTGAGCAACAAAAATCATTGGTGATATATGTGTTTTGTCCATGTGTTCAACATGCTTCCAATTAAATATTTCTGTGATCTAATCATTTAATACTTCGAAAAATTGAAGTAAATGCCTATAGCTTTGAGTATGATCCTCAAATATTGTTAAAACAAAAATTCAAAAAACGAAAATTAGCATTTTCCAAATAAGCGTGTCATTGCATGTTAATTCATTTTGTATTTCAAAGGAGTTACGTAAAAAAGCGACCAGATTGGTGTCAGCCAAGTGTACTTTGGCGGCACGCGTGGACAGTTTCCACGAGAGTGTGAACGGAACAGTTGGGGACAGTCTGAGGGCCGATATCGACGGAAAGCTGGACAAACTCCTGGAACCACCACCAGTGAAAAAGGTCAAGGCCCTGCCAACACCTATAGACGCTGCGCGCAAAAAGAGGGGAGGACGTAGGTGTGTAAAACGTTACGACCTTGCTCTCTGATTATTTGGACAAAAAGCAGGACTAGACAATAAGGGTAGCCCGATAGTCTGAAACTAGTGACACGGGACTAGACATTAAGGGTAGCCCGATAGTCTGAAACTAGTGACACGGGACTAGACAATAAGTGTAGCTCGATAGTCTGAAACCAGTGAAATCTCCAGCTTGACTAGTGGTTCTAAAAACTTCTAGCCTGATTGATTGGTCAATATTTTCTATTGCTTATTTTGTGGAATTATATTGAGCTAGTGAAATAGTGCACATGGGCTAGTAAAAAGTTTATACTACTACCCCAATGAATTTGTGGTATTTAAGATTAATTTCTAGCCCTGAAAAAGAAGGGCACTCTAAGCTCCGATAACCTGAAAACGTTTTTTTTTTTTTAATATGATCTTTTATTTGTTTTGGTTTGATGATTCTGCAAAGAACCCAGGCTTGATTGAGGGGCTACTATGAAATGTGGGAATCTATAGTTGGAGATGGGCTTATTGAAGCGATCTAGATTATATTAGAGAATAAATCTGAGGCCTCCAAAGAGGAGGGATGGGCTTATTGCCAGGCATGGGGGAAATGCCAGATGAATATGGGAAGTATTTGCTATCTTCTGCTTATGAATATCAAAATAGTAAGATCTGTGTGAGACTGTAATGTAACAAAATTAATGGTCAACAGTTTCAATACTGTACCAGTGATTTAAGGAAAACCTTTGTTAAAACATCAAGAATATTTGCATTTTTTTTTTCCTGTATTATACATAATAAATATAATATTTAGCACTTAAGGATCCCTGTACCACAGCCGAAAACTGTAACTATGTGTTGGAATCTGTTTTAATCATTTCTGGAAAAGAAAACCATTCTTTGCGGGACATTGTGAGAAATGATAAAATAAGATGAAATAAACAAAATATAATCAACAACAGAGTGCTGAATGCAAAAAAATATCAATAGGACTTCAACCCCGAACTTCAGGTTGATATACTATCACACTCACAAACTGAGGTACCTGTTCAGCATGAGTGTCCTGGCCCAACTGTGCTACAGGTATATCTAAACAGTTACTGTATATAGGAAAAACCACAATGCAGTGGCATGGGACAGTGATCCTTAAAGGGTTGATTAATGTGTTAAAAATATGATATTGCTTTTTTAATATTATTTTGTAGAAAATGTTTGATGAGTACGTGAAAAATTTGCTTGTCATTCACAGGGCTCGAAAAATGAAAGAAAGGCTTGGATTAACCGAAGTCAGGAAAGCAGCTAACAGAATGAATTTTGGAGAGGTAATTGTTTTAGTTACGCTTTCCTAACGCTGTAACAGTAAAAGCTCAATATACTGCCAGCCAAATATTTTGATGTTATAGAGAGGTTTGGCAATATATCAAGAAAGACGAATTGGCAAGAATCAGGAGAAAGGGGACCTCGAAATATATTCAAAATCACAAGTATTTTTACTATATTTCAGAGGGGTGGGAAAACAAGCTTAGAGCTCATATTATCCGGTATTTTCTTCCCTTTATAAATATGTTGGCAGTATGTGAAGTAGGAAATGAAGTAAGGGGCACTATATTGAGGTAGTAATGTGAATTACTGAATTGGTCCTAATACATATATACATACATATATATATATTTAGGTAACTTAGTAAGTAAGGCCAATCAGAAGTTAAGGAACATCATGGTTGTTTATTCAAACACATAAATTAATTGATGTTTATTTGCATAACTATTTTCATGATTTCGATTTCTCACTAAAAAGTGTCCATTAAAAATTCAATGATGTACAGCAACTGTTATACCATAAGATGTCCTTGGTTTTCACTATTTTTTTTAATTTAATTTTGTAGAAATCTTTGGAGAATTGACTCACTGTATAGCAGTTTGCAATTGATCAATGATTAGAATCCCTAAATGCATTCATATAGAACATTTTAATTTTTACCAAACTGCACTTTGCTAATCTCTGTGATTTGTTGTATCCAGATAGAAGAAGATGCGTACCAGGATGACCTTGGCTTCTCCTTGGGAACACTGGGTAAATCGGCATCAGGTCGTGTTAGGGGGCCGGTAGTCGACTCAAAGACAAAGGCCAAGATCTCCAAAACCTTACAGGTAAGTCAGAAATTTGTGTTTTAATTTTGAAAATAAATATGAAGTTGAGTCCCAAACATGGTAAAGCCCATTGACGTGAAAACATTTTAAAGATCCCTGTTTGACCACTGCAGGCAAAACACAAAAGAGCTCCACTGTAGGTTTTGTACTTGCAGTAACCTCCCTTTAACTCTGTGTTTTGGATACAACTGTAGTGCAACTGACTTGTGTTACTTCTGTTGATCAGGGAGCTCAGTTAGTTAGAGCAATAGTTTATAAGGATTGAACAGCATTTTTTTCAATGTTCATGCTGGTATGAATGCAAAGTGGTTCATATTACATATATGGAACCGATTTGCATTCATAACGGTATGAACTTTGAAATATGCTGCCATTCAATCCTTTTATATACATTTTGAATTTTATAGCTATGATTGATCTAAGCATAGGTATTTCCTTATATTTTCAATATTTAAGTATCTGTACCGTCAGCGCAAACAAGATTCCTGGAACAGTCAAATGTCATCAAAATTGTTGCTTCTAACAGTTAATGCCTCGCATGTTTCGAGGCAGAAGCTTCAAAATGACGCTGATTAAATTACATTCATAGCCCTATGAACACAATTTTTTCGAATAATGCTCATAGAGAAACTTGCAGTGGAAATGTAAATATAATGATTTGAGGTCAAGGATTCTTATTCTGGTCTGGCTGCATTGCCTTGTTACACACAAAGATTTGTGTATTAAACCCTATTGTAAAACTGTACTAAATTCTTTCTTCCCTGATCAGTTGAAGGTACAGAAGCAGAACCAGACGTGGGGCGGCAGCACGACGGTCAAACGACAGGTGTCCGGAACAGCGTCCAGCGTGGCGTTCACTCCTCTGCAGGTATGGATGAAATTTATGTACAGTGAAAAATCTGTGATAAAATTCCCCTGTAATATCCTGTTCAAGTTCTGAACTCAATTGGAAAAAGAAAAAATCATCGGGGGGTACTTTTTGGTCAGGGTATAAAAAGTATCGGGGGGTACATTTTGGTCGGGTGTATAAAAAGTATCCGGGGGTGGGGAATTGAAGAGAGGTTGGGTAACGACTATAACATAACTGTAAATGTTTCTACTCGACTCCCCAAACCTTATTGTGTCCAGTGATTGAGAATTATTTTGGCATAATTCCTGGCCTCGGGGGTAGGGATTGGTGGGATAGGGGTGGATAAATATTCCACTGTAATGTCCTGTTCAAATTCTGCACTCAATAAGATAAAAAATACAGAAATATAAGATTTTTCATAGGGGGGTACTTTTTGGTCAGGATATAAAAAGTATCCGAGGGGTACATTTTGGTCGGGTGTATAAAAAGTATCCAGGGGGTGGGGAGTTGAATATAGGTTCGCTAATGGCTATAACATAACTTTAAATGTTTTTACATGACTCCCCAATCCTTATTGTGTCCAGTGATTAAAAATTATTACGGCATAAATTCCAGGCCCCGTTGGTGGGATAGGGATGGATAAATATTCCACTGTAATTTCCTGTTCAAATTCTGCACTCAATTAGATAAAAAATACAGAAATATAAGATTTTTCATAGGGGGGTACTTTTTGGTCAGGATATAAAAAGTATCCGGGGGGTGGGGAGTTGAAGAGAGGTTGGGTAATGTCTATAACATAACTGTAAATGTTTCTACTCGACTCCCCAAACCTTGTTGTGTCCAGTGATTGAGAATTATTTTGGCATAATTTCCTGGCCCTGGGGGTGGGGATTGGTGGGGTAGGGGTGGATAAATATTCCCCTGTAATATCCTGTTCATGTTCTGAACTCAATTGGATAAAAAAAAAAATAGATTTTTTTTTTTTTCATAGGGGGGTACTTTTTTGTCAGGGTATAAAAAGTATCTGGGGGGTGGTCGGGTGTATAAAAAGTATCCGGGGGGTGGTCGGGTGTATAAAAAGTATCCGGGGGGTGGGGAGTTGAATAAAGGTTGGGTAATGACTATAACATAACTGTAAATGTTTTTACATGACTCCCGAAACCTTATTGTGTCCAGTGATTAAAATTTATTTCAGCATAATTTCCTGGCCCCAGGGCCGGATAGATATTCCCCTGTAATATCCTGTTCAAGTCCTAAACTTAATTGGATTAAAAATAGAGAAATGTATTTTTTTTCACAGGGGGGTACTTTTAATGCAGGTATAAAAAGTATCCCGGAGACTTTTTGGTAGGAGAGTAGGTTTTATGCATGAGGGCAACTGTTGCAAATCAAATAGATAATAGTTAAGATCTGATGTTTTGTCTTGAAATAATTGTTTTATTAATATGTGTTTTTGTCTTAGACAATTGTTCTTCAAGATCTGATATTTTATCTGTATTGAAATGATACACACATTTTACGTTGACAGGGGTTGGAGATTGTGAATCCTCAAGCTGCAGAGAAGAAGGTGTCTGGAGGAAGTTCGACCTACTTCTCCAGTACGGGTAGTTTTGTGAACGTGAAACAGAACAGGTGAAGAGGACATGAAATCTACACACACACACAAACAAAAACTGGACTGATGTATGATGTTATTCGTGCATCAAGTTGCGACTTTAATCTCGCCACATTATAGCACATGTTCCAGTGAAGGAAGGTTACGATGTTAAAAACATGTCTGCTGGCAAGTCCAGGGGACTCTTCGTCACACGAGGACTTTTAAAGTCCTTAATGTTTTGTTTTGTTGAGAGATTGTAATCTAAGTTCATCAGACAGGTGACTTATTGACAAATGACTAAATGAGTCTGCATCACTTACAGGACCTCTATTTGTGAAGAATTATGATCGCTTGTGGTCAGTTGATATTGGTCAGTTATGGCAAAACAGTCAAGAATTCATACAGTGGACAAAATTAGCCCTGTTGTCACGTTTTATGTATTGTTACTGTCTTTATTTTATCATTTCTAGGGGCTTTTATTCAACCACTCATTTTGCACATTGCAGTTTAATAAATATACCATACTATACATGTGTCGAGGTGTTTTTTTTTAGAAGAGTGAGAAGACCTAGTAAAATGTGAAAATTTTTGCCCAGTCCCTTTGATTGTTGTTTACAAAATATGTATGTGTAACAGAAGCAGTAAAAAGGAAAAGCCACACCAGGGTTTGAACCCTAGACCATCTTAACTCAAGACAGACGCTCTACCAATTGAGCTACCTGGTCGCCAATATTCCTCCCTCCTTTTTCCAAGTCTTTGCCCCTGTAGATAACACCATTTACAAACTAGATTTTTGTGTCCCCTTGTCAAGCATTCGCCTAGTACCTTAAACAAGGGCTGGTCGTAGGCTTTTGTGTCCCCTTGTCAAGCATTCGCCTAGTACCTTAAACAAGGGCTGGTCGTAGTCTAAAGGTTCTAATCTCAATGCACCCTTGGAATATGCCATGAAAAAATGACGGCTGTTTACGCCATGCTTCGCAGATTAATCAAGTAGACTTGTCTGATGATGATTTGTATTTGATGAAGATTAAAGGTTTCACCAATTGAGCTACCCGGTCGCCGACAATCAACCCAGTCCAGTTCCCCTATATTCCTTACTCCTTTTTTGAAGTCTTCATCCCTGTAGCCAACACTATTTACAAGCTAAGTGTCGGTCATCATGGAATATATCATGAAAAAATTGAAGTCTCTGTACACCATGCCATGCCTTGCAGATTATACAAGTAGACTTGTCTGAAGATCTAAGGAATTGCGTAGCAGCATAACGGTAATATCCACAAGCTCCTGTATTTTTTTACCAGTCCGGTATCAGCCTAGTGATTGGTCAGGTTTATATACATGAAACTACCAACTACCTAATCACAAGCCTTCCATTTTGTCATGACACAATCCAAGGGTGAAAAGAAGAAAAGAGGAACATGAGTGGAACCCTTGAATTTAAAAAGAAATGAGAAACATGGGCCACATTCGTTTATCACGATCCAAATCGTTGGACAAGAGTCGTTTGTTTATGAAATAATGTCAGACTTAGTAATCTGCTGCTGCTTTCAGGAGAGCCTTTAAGAAGCCTAGCAAGGCCTGCATAAACGTTTGTAGGTCCGCCAGGATTTATACCCAAAAATATTACATTTATAAACAGGCAGTGTCATCTAATGATTTAGCTTGATGTTAGCGACCTCGATGTGCCATCAACAATGGTATTATTTCAGTGAAACAGGATGAATGTAAACTTCATTCCCATCAAAGTGTGAATAACGAGATCATACTGATGATCAGTTGCAATAATGTTGATCCTTAATCCACCTGGACAAAACATTTTAGTCTCTTGAAATGGCACTTTGATATCCTATGTTGACATTTTTTTTCTCGCTATATATTGACTAAGAAAATGTGAATCTGTGGAAAACAAGATGAAAAAGGCATGTTGTGAAATCTATGGAGAAGATGAACACAGGAGATTGTGGGACTCTTGAACAAGACTGATAATGAGTCTTGTGAAAGATCCATGTTGACAGATTGTGAAATTGGAATTAGCTACACTTTCTTCGTTTGGTTTCTGCAGATCATCCACTCGTTCCAAGCGTAAACGGGGGGAGACCTTCATGAGCTTGTTCACTCCAATAAATCAATCGTTAATTAATTGACGTCATAAACACCAAGCTACTTTTGAAGCTATTTTTCCAGTTTTATACCGGTAATATTCAGGATTTTTTTCTCTCAAATCTGACCCCAAAAACGTACCTGCGCAATATACCCGCAAATTTACGGTAATAAACGGAAACTTTAACGATGAAAAAATATCTACCTAGTATTCAGATATATACGCAATATGTATTCAAATATTTTGAATGAAATCATTCAATAAAATATGTTTAAGTGTGAACGTTTGATAAACTTTTCATGTAGTGAGTAGAATAGTTTGGCCATGTGGTTTGGAACATAAACTCAGTTTACTAGTTATCATTAGCCACTTAACTTACTGTAAACATATTTTAAGGTCCCATACTTTATGATTTTTTTTAGTAACATTTTCTTTATATGCTTCCCTAAATGTATCGCCACACATACTGTGAAATCGGATATTTCCGAGAGGCCCATATTTCATGGTTTTCTCCCTTAACATCCATTTTGTGGGTACTTAAATCAGTGGATAAAGAATAAATTTCTGCACAAAAACTGTTAGTATATTACTCATACAGAAAATACCTTCATTTACTTCGTCGACAAACAAATTCGTTGAAGAAAAGTACTCACATAATCAACGAAATTAAAAAAAAAACAAATTAGTGATTTCACAGTATATATTCGGTATTTACCATCATCATTTGCGATTTATTACAACATTTTCAATGGGTTTTTTTAAAATTATTCATAACTGCGCACAAATTGCCCTAGTATGTAAAGTTCTATTATGTAGAAATATGCCAAGTGGACAGTAGGTACACAGCGGTTGTTGGTGCAGACTCTGCATGTTCTCTGGTGTGTTCAATTGACAATGTGTTATCTTCGCTCTCAAAGAACGAAAAAAGGCATTCGCTCGTTGAATAGGACTTTCGGTAATGTTCGTTGGGACGTTTTGCATAAATTCATGAACATAATTATGAATAATTGATGAAGTCAGTGATTGAATCTAGTGTTTATCACATCTTTACGACAAAGTATATTTAAGAATCATTGATTTAATTGGCTGCAAAAAATAAAAATAAATGAACGATATTGTGTACCAGTATGTCAATTTTATTTTTCTTCCATCATCCGAATATCTTTTTTATGCATATCAAAAAATAATAAAATACAATAACAATAAATAATAATAATATATAATATGATTAATATAAATAAAATAAATAGATATTTTTTAGCGGAAACACTTTACCACCACAAAAAATACCATAATACAGTATACTTTACACATTGCAATACTTGCAGATTTTTATATACATTATAATTTTAAAGACAAATATAATGAATTTTCCGACTAAAAAAATATATGTTATGGAGCTTGATACTTAATGTACTTGATTTAAGTTAAGTTATCTTGTGTTGATTATGAAATATTGGTTTAAAATATGTATTTCAAATTTTACTTAAAACGATTACCGTATATCTGCAGTTACACTGCCAGGGAATTTTAGCATTATAAAGGGATTTGGCAATAAATTGGGGAAACTAGGGTCATTATATCAAGGTTTTATACTGGATTCACTGGCAACTCATATCATGCTCTGTTGGACTACATAGATAACAGTCAGAACTTTGGTCAGTAAGGGTTCCTATTTTTTACTGGTATCCTGTTTCACATTTTCACCGGAATCTTTGGGTGGAACAGCTACTGTAAGAACTCCAAAACGGGACCTCGAAACTCGCATCTTGCTTATGTCGTAATCCTTGGTGACCTTGAACACTCGTGATATTTCCCCACTGTCATTAACAGCCTTGACCTTCACTGTGTCGTCAGACACTGTGACCTTGACCTCCTGTTGTTTGAAGTCCTGAACATCAACACACTTAAAGATGAGATCAGATCCGTCTTCGCTTGAACAGCTGCCACGACGCCGCCCATGTCTTCTTCCTCCATGAGGTCCATGTCTTGATCTGTGACCGTCTCCACGGCGATGCTGTCCTCTACCACGATGGTGACCATTTGAACCATGACGATGACCTTTACTGCCATGGTGATGATCTTCAGACTGACGGTGGCGACCTTCACCTTCATGGCGATGGCCTTCAGTGCTGTCTTCACCTTGTGCATCGGAGTGTTCGTGGCCTGGGGCATTGGGCCTCCCGTGTCCATGTCTCCGTTCGCCGTGATTCTCCTTGTCCCGATTTTTCCCGTGGTGACGACCACGTTTTGTTGGACTTCTGTGGGAGTGGACAGGATGGTGGTAGGGACATTGCTGTACCAGGGCCGGACATGTCCACTGTGCTGGACACGGGTATTGTGTGGGTGTTATTACTTCGTCTCCGTCACTCCCCGTCGATTGTGAATCATCGTCTGTGCTGTCCTAGAAAACATAGACATGTTTCTCATTCAGACATATTCTGTAGTTGAATACCAATTGAAAATAATTGGGCACACGTTCTAACAACTTATTAGACCAAGTCCCGGGCCCGTCTTCATGAAACCGTCCTCATTACTCAAGCATGGATTTTGTTCGTAAGCTTAATTTCTTGTTCCGTTTATAAATTAATAAGAAAAGCTTATTTGTCAATGATTTGGGGGGAAATGAAGAGACTTAAAAATTAGAAAACTGTTTTCAATATTAACATTTTACTTTTTGTTCGTTTGAAATGATTTAAGTGAGTACAAAAAAATGGTTTGAACACAAAATCAACGCTTGAGCATGAGAACGGTTTCATGAATACGGGCCCCGGCCGTTTCTCTAACATTTTCAGTTTGTCTAACGATAAAGAAGATGTGCATCCCTAATTTTTGTTCAAAACACGACAACAATCAGCTATATTAAATATATGTCAGGGGTTTTCAGTAGATCCTTTCGAGTATGCTTTTGACTCCCTTAAATGAGCTTTGACTCTTGGGTTTGAAAGCATATATCTAATTGACATGTGTTTTGACTCTTCTGATTTCAGGTAAAAGGTTATTTGACTTTGAAGTTGTTAAATGTCTAGGATCAACTGAAAGCCCTTTTATGTTATAACAAAAATCGTGAAAAAATCGAAATTGATCTACGATGAAAACTATGAACATATTTTTATTTGTACAAGTGTATACAGCGACATATCATATCCTAAGCTACTTTTGAATAAAAATGCGAAAGAAATAAAAAAATGTAGTTTCAACGTGGGGCATCTCAATAAGAAAAGCAATCCCATCGTAAGATATCTTCTCGAATTGTGAAGTAAAAGAAATACTCTGATAAAAGGGAAAAAAACGTCCCAGCTGCGCGATATTGTAAAAACTAAAATATTTTCTTTACAATATTAAAAATGCATATTTTTTGGTATCATTGTTTAATATTTTGGAAAAACATTTGCCAACTTATATCAATAAAAACTTCATTCATTGTAAAATGATTTTTTAAAAGTTCTATGCAGCTGCAGTTTTAAAATAAGAGTTACTTTTTACAAGAGTTAGCATTCATGATCTACAATCACGAAATTAGGTCCAGATACTGAACCGATCAGAGATACACATGCAAAACAACACTCGTACACAAGACTATGTTTGTGTTTTACGTCCTATTAACAGCTATGGTCATTTACTGACGTGCCAGGTTTTGGTGGTGGAGGAAAATCGGAGTGACCGGAGAAAAACCACAGACTTGCGGACAGTAGCATGCGACTGCCCAACATAGGCCTCGAATTCCAGACACATTATTGGAGATGATCGAAGATGGTCAGACGCCTTAACCACTCGGCTACCGCGGCCCTCACATGAGAGTGTTTCCCTGATTAGAGCTATATCTAGTCATTGGAAAACGTTTTTTAAGCAACTCTGATTGACTTGACAAAAATAAAACAAAAATATCCCATTGCTGTTTGTTAAGTTAGTACTAAAAATAAAACAGATTGTATTAACATTAAATAATATACGTAATGAGTCAATCCTTACCGACGCTGAGTCTTGCTCCACTTCTATAGTTCGTTCTGCCGATTGCGACGCCATTCTTAACACCAACAACTGTTTCTGGACAAGGTTGAAATTCGTCTACCTGTTAAAACGCAAATGAAGATATTCACCCGTCACTGAGCTTATAAGTAAGTTGTTTTTTTATTTGTCACATGAGTTATATTTTAGACAGTCATGTGCGTCATTACATGACGCGCAGAAACACAGTCAGGTAAAAATTTTATAACTTTTCTCACATGATGTTGACAAAGTCACATGGTTACATTCACTTAGTAAGAGTCACGAGCTGAAGCGGGACGTGAGCATTTTGTTAAAAGCAAGGGTCTCGCTGATTCATATTATCTTAAGCGTCATTTTTAAAGTTTTCCTTGTTGTTATTCACTATAACTCTCTAAATAACAAAAAACAGCGATATATGAACCAGTACCACCAAAACCTCTATGGCAGAATCCGTATCAAAGATCCTCGTTTTTCAAGGAACGTTTACGCGAAAATATTCAATTTTAATAAACAAAAAAAGCCGGAGATTTAGCAACTCCTTTTAAAACACAATTTGCTTTTTGAGCTACGGACAAAGGGTTTCCTGCAAACGGACAATGGAAAACTTTAAAGCTGCTTTCAGCTTTTGTCAATCGTCTGATTGAACAGTACGATTTTTTACTAGTAATGTAACCTTATTGCCATCTAAGTGTTCTTAATGTTCCTTCAAACATTCTTCAACATGAAAACACTCATACTTTTCAAAACCCCTACATCTGCATGCGCTTCATTGCATATCTATGTAAAGTTGATAGCGAATCATGAAAGCGAATCATACATTCGGTTACAAGCAGGACGGAGCTCAATGGGTTTTTTTTATTTTCTTAAACGCTTATAACGTTAACACGCTGTACAAATTTGTTCTTTGTGGGAACTTCACAATTTTGAGATGTACAACATTCGTCAAATTGCAGCAGTGTACTCAGAAACACAGACGAACGATGATATGATGATATTGAACATCCGACAATAGGACAGTATACCTTTTTTCCAAAACTGAACAACAGAATGGAAGCCGGAAAACGACGTACCGTCAGTGTGACAAAAGGACCATATTTTATTTACTTTACGACAGGCTTAAGCAACATACGTTCAGGAGAAAAGACAAACAATATGAAAATGAAATAGAAATATTTGTTCTTTACAAAGATGAACGTCACACACACAAAGGTCATTGCACCTATACAAATTGGTAATAGATACACAGTTTGCCAAAAATGATTTACACTGCATCATACATCTGTTTCGTCCTTCTAGGACTCATCGGTGATGCTAGAGGCCAAAAGGTCGGAGGAACAAAAACCTATGACAGGACAAAACTATATATTGCATGCAAGCATTCAAAGGCATTCCACAAATTCTCCCTTTTTTCAGAAGCCTGGTCAAATGTGCATAAGTACGTCTGGATTAGGCGAGGCAAGAGATTAACACCTGTGATGTAGCGAGGTGAGGATAACCATATCTACAGGCAGAACATGAAGGTATGGCGACTATCTATCTCAACAAAAACTACAGACAAAGAAAGGTTATCATGTTTTTTCCTTCTCGTAGGTACGTTTGTTTAACTGATTCGCCCCTGAAATTTCATAATAAACTAATCCATCCTTTGAATTGGAAGAGTTCAAATGTGTCTTCAGGAGTGTACGAGTTAACTAAGGTTGTTTTACAATCATCATATATGTATTCTGATAAAAAAAGACAATGTTCTCAGTGAAATCTTAACGGGGCAGTTACAGTTTGTTTAAAGTGACGGCATTTGCGAAATGGGTTTTGTATAGTATTTCTTTTGGCACCGTACGATTTATCTTATTTAATATTTGATGAAGCTAAATCTCTGTGGTCTTATGTTGTTTAATATAGTCTAGACCAAAATGGCTGATGTAGGTCAATGTCTGTGTTATCAAAGTGTTTTTTACAATCTAGTCTATTGCCTTTGAATTACTTTCGCTGGAATAAAGGATGAATTTCTAATATTTTACTTATATATTTCTTACTCCGTGTTGTAAACACAGTGTCTATGACTGATTGATTATTAAATATCCCTGCCCCACTACAGGAAAAACACTTGGTAATTCTATTGAAGTTTTTCATACAAACAATAGCCTCCTATTAAATTCACTTTATATATAACTGTATACTACTACTAATAATAATAATAATAATAATGATAGTCTTTATTTCAACTTGATGCCATATTGAGTTAAATACTCGTCTTACATATGGTCAAGCATGATAAAATGTACACTGTTTACAACAAATTTACGACAATTATAAAACAACACAGAATCTGTGTAAGATAAGTTTACGTGTACTAAATATCACAGTCATAAATAACCATGTCCTAGCTAGATGATAAATAGCAAATGATATAGCATCATCACAGACTTGGTGATTTAAAACTAAGTTATCCTTAAACATAAATCAGTGATGGACGTTTGCATGTCACACACGTGTCACTAAAGGGTACGGTTAAAGCACTATCATAGTCGGATATACAAACAACGCTAATATAGCAAAAGGGTAAACATTAACAGAATTTACACTAATGTAGTGTGCATTAAGAAGTGGCGATAGAGTCGATGGGCTAAAACGTAGGTTATAAAGGAATATTATCAAAAAACACTCAAAACTGTACCAAGTGTTAATATATGAAATAAAAAAAAAAAAAAAAAAAAAAAAAAAAAAAAAAAATTTAACANAATTTACACGAACAATATGACTTAATTAGAACTCAAATGGATTCGAATAGACAAGAACATAAACTGTGATCGCTTCTGACGAATACCGGAAATGTGAGCCAGTGACTTAATAACCAATTAAGAAACACGGTGAATATTTTGCCTTCAACTGTAGTGGGGCTCGTTCAGGTACCTACCGCTCATCAGATAGCTCAGTTGGTCAGAACAATCGTTTTGTGACTGTAGGTCACGGTGGATTTTTTATTCTAAGAACACTGTTGTTGATTTCACACCTTTTCATAACATTTGTTCTTTCATTGAAAAGTTCTGCAAAGTAGGGATTTCTGTTTCAGAAATGATTTATTAAAGTTATTGTCATGTAGCTAAAACAGCTTCGAGTCCAAAGCTATGGTAGTAATACGGGGATCTGAAAACAAGTGAAAACCAAAGAAATATATGCGTTCCTTAATTATGCAGAACAAGCATTTGTATATTTCTTTGGTTTTCACTTATTTTAGGATCATCAGAGTGATGAACGTAGGGAACTTTTAATTGATTGCACCTATACTTTTTGGTAATAGATAAACTGTACCAAAAAAATACTACACTGCACCATACAGTTGTTAAAGAAATATATCTATTTACATTTTTTTTTTAATTAACCCGGCATAATAAAAAATAAAAAATGTTCATATATATATATTTCTTTAACAACTCTATGGTGCAGTGTAGCATTTTTTTGGTACAGTTCATCTATTACCAAAAATTATAGGTGCATTACTTATAAGTTTCCTACGTGTAACACTCTACACGTACACGTGTTTATTTACATATAGTGTTTTGATGTTTTGATTATTTATAGTGAACATATGAAAGTATAACTATGCTTTATTAAGTATAAGACATAAATAAACAATTATACACGAGAATTGATTATTTGGTTTTTTTACTGACATTACAAAAAATCTTACATTATATATTTTGATTGACATTACGTATTTGAATGCATAATATTGATATTATATATGATCTGTAATTGATAATGTATATTAGACACATAAAACAAACTAATATATTTGATAGTGCATTTGACATTACATAACTTATATTATTGATCATTAATAAAAATTGATATCATATGACTGATGTTGCATATTTCATATTATGTAAGTGACATCATGTATTTGATATGATGTAATCGATATGATATATTACATCTTTTCTCACAGGGCCGATGCTTGTCATATTTTTGTACACATCTTCCATTTTTTTCTCACGAAGTTAAGTTTACTCATTTGCTATTTTTTATTGACATTACCGTATTCCAAGAAGTTCTGATATAAAATATTTCGTGCTATTGTTTCTTGCAACTCGTATTATTCTGCCCCGACCTCACAATGACCTAGACCTCGTTTCCTTCTCTATTTGGCACTGATGTTCAAAACCCGCTATCTCATGGTTTTAAACACAATCCCTTGTTTAAACCATCACGTGTAAGATACATTGTACTTAATACTCTTTGCATTCAGTTTTCGATTGGTGTTTAGCCAGGCTGGTGACCTCAGTATCCAGATAAAAAAGAAAATTCTTGATAGTTTGATGTTAGCTCTCCCACAGGCGCTTGAATTTCGCTACTTATAAAACTATTATAATACCGTATTGATTCTAATTATAACCCTGGAAAGTATTAGAACATATGAAAACGAAAGCACAGGGGATGGGCGATTATTGAAATCAAGGATAACACCCACACATCATAAAGTTTACAGGAACGATCGAAGCTAAGGGTTATAGTTACGTTGACTGAAGAAAAAATCTATGCTACAAGAGGAATGGGCGATTATTGGAGATATTTTCAGAATTAAAAATAGCAGAAAATAACCACTTTTAAGGGTATTTTGCCCCCAAAGTGGAGGTGTATGCGAGTATAAGAGCATGGGCTACTATAGAACCAATACGGTTATTTAAAATAAATACAAAAAAAACACATAAAAATCGTGCACCTGTATATTCCTTTAATATGTTCGTAGATTGTGGATGCAGATCGGCTATTTTTCATAATTATAAAAAAAAAAAAAAAGGAAATCATTACCATATAAATATTAACACTTGATACACACCGAATGCCTGTTATATCAAAGTTTTACTTTATACACAAACAATGTAGGTGGTTTCAAGAACGACTGGTCCCCTTGTCAACACATTGCGACACGTTTAATACGTACATTGTTTGTGTATAAAGTAAAACTTTGATATTAAATATTTACAAACTGAGGTATCTTATTAAAAATACCGAATGCCTGTGTTTTCTGTGTGCTGTGCTTGGGTAACAAACCAGCCAGCCTCCGCATGTACTGTAATCACTCGCACTCGTGATAGTCTATTGTAAGACGCCAGCCGACGGTCACGCATCGTTTACAGATCCGATACTCTCAGGATATTTGCCCTACAGCTCCTCTTTTATCTGACACATTTTAAATATTGCTTACCGTGTTGTTTACAGCCCGATCTTCATACCTTCGATTCGGCAGATTTGCAAACGAAACTTCATATGAAATTTCATATAATAGAAACGCATCACAACCTATAGGAAAGTAAGGGTGGCAAGGCAGAGGATGCTAGCGGGTTTGATATTACAGTCATATGCTCAAACAGTGTATGCACAATAAAACTTTTTTTTTTTAATATTTTGATTGAAAAGAAAACTATTTAAAACCAAGTTTCTCCAATACAATGAATTATGACGTCATTGGTTTTTTTTGTGGCGATATTACACTTTACCAATGGAAAATGTATGTGATGACGTTATCATAATACATATCTGCTTGGACATATGATAAAATGGGTGCTTCATAAAAGTGTCTGTTAAAATTAGCGCGTTTCGTGATAAACATGTTATTAGTTTTCAATGAATATATATATATATATATATATTATAAAAAGAAAAATTCTCAACAACGAGTCTTTCATCTCTTCTAGGAGATTCTTCAGACTATATATATGTATATATATATATAGAAAATTTCAAATGTGATTCCATGAATTGCATCACCACGGTTACGAGCTCCAACGAGTTACTCAAAAGGCAGATGAATGACGGAAAACAAACTTAGATTTGAGATTATCAAGCATTCTGACGTTATTGTATTATCCGCAAGTTATAACCATTGGTGGCAATATTTTTTTAACAAACGGCAAACTGTAAGCAAATGCCATATACTCATCTACTCATTTTTAGGTTGTCATAATTATGTTAGCCCGAATTAATAAACAATACTTATTTTTATTTAGAGTAAAATGTTATGATTATTCCGAAAACACTCAAAACCATATCAAGTGTTAATCAATGAAATTAAAAAAATAAATAAAAAAAAGATAAAAGACAATTTACACGAACAATATGACACAATTAGAACTCAAATGGATTCGAATAGACAAGAACAGCGACGGAGATCGCTTCTTACGAATACCGGAAATGCGAGCCGGTGACTTAATTACCAATTAAGAAACACAGTGAATATGTCTCTGAATAAGATATATAATATTTTCAAATTAGATAAATCTCACGTTTTCACATCAAGTATTGTGCATTGTGTGTTCGTCTAAATATACATTTTGACGTCACGCTAAAATCATTGACCCATTCGAAAAGAGGTACAGCGCTGGGGCTAGAGCTGTATTTAACTAATACACATATGGTCGACTCTGCTATCTGGTGCAATAAAAAATCAGATTGCCTGGGTTATACAGTATGTTCAACACAAATAAGACACTCCAAGGAACTCTACTAGCCAACCTTAATTTGTAACTGTGACACTCGTGCATTGGTATATCGGCTAATCACCCAGTAACTCCGTAATGCAAATCGAGAACGTAGTCTTACAAGGGTTAGGGGTTAAAAGAGAGAGCTTTTACCGACATACCTGAAAAACATGTGGAGCTGGATCTTTATCCAACTTGAATTAATCCGTGTAGTGCAGTTTTTTCCCGGTTTGAAGTCAATGAAAACACTCGTCTGTGAGATAGATTTCAGAGCAGGTTTGACCTTTTGTTTGTAAGTTGTAATGCAAGAATTGTAACAAATGCCTGCATGCCTCATTTGGTGTTCTCGCCATGACGCACTAACTAAATTGTGTTGTGTGACTGCACAAACACTAACACAAACACGTCTAGTCGGATTGGTTAGATGAAAACAAGATTATTTCAAGATCTTTGTCTTTTGCTTATTTTCATCAATTAAATACAGAAAAGTCCAAAACGTTTCATAGCAGTCATTATTTCATATTTTTTATATTCGACGGGCCCAAATTTGACAACATCTATCACATTTGTTCATTGAAGATAAGCGTCAAGTTATAAAACAAATCCAATGAAATCAAGAAATTATAAACTAATTGTTGTCATTATTAATATTAATAAGATATTGAAGTTTTTATAGGTATTTAATTTGGGTAACTGGCATGCTTGCCTGAATTCGACAGGCTTACCCTTAGAGGACGTATAATTTTGTAACTGTGTCTTAAAAAATAGTTCCTGACATTAAGCTCACAGAGAACAAGGTAATTTTATCTCAAAATATATAGTACTTTTAGTTTAGTTTTATCTGCTAAAACGTCTGCTAAATTTCTATTGTTGTTTTTCGTTTGTGTTGATGTTTGAATTTTGTCTTTGACATGTGTTGACGCGTTAATATTTTTTTGACTTGTTATACCGCAGCTTCTATATAACAATCACTGATCAGTATTGCTAAATAAGTATGAATATCATTGACCATATGTCGATATGATCACTTTCATTAACGAAATATAAATATTGTTGATTAATTATCGATACTATTGCACAATTTTCAATATCACCCAACATATAACAATATTATTAAACATATATCAATATCATTTAACAAATATCAATAAAATTGAAGATATATCGATATCATTGAACAAATACCATATCAACTGAACAGGTATCAATATGTATAACAAAATGAAGAATTCAGAAAAAAACGACGAACAAATTGACACTCTTCTGCGTTGGAAATTTCGCGATTTCAAAACCACATTGCTATATTTCTTATCTTTTAAACAGGCGCTGTACTTTTGTTATTTATCGTTTCGCCGAATTATTTCCTCTTGGATAAGGTTTTAAAAAAAATGAAAATCGCGATAAAAATTGCACACAGAAAATAAATACATCAAAAGTATTTGCCGTTTGGTACGACATGGATTTCACATCTGCATAGGTAAGGGATTCATTACGTCGTTTCCGAGATGCAAGTTTCCGGAATAAAAGCCACTTGATTTGGCATTAACGTGGTATATTAAAGGGGAATGTATATTTCCGGTGTAAACAAAACTCAGCGACAATCTTACTTTGTAAAAGTAAAACATTGGTAAATTTGGACGAAAATGGCTGAAATTTCACATCCTTTCTGAAAAAGTTATGTACTGACAAGTACCCTGTCGTTAGACATGTAGCCAAAAACCGCACACCCCTGTTTGTTCTGTTTTTGTTTTTCAGACTGTTGTGGGGATCTCGCATATTTTCAGTGCTAACCGGAAGTACTCACACACCCTATCATGTGACATGTATATCTTAAATCTGGTGGAATTCGAAGACAAAAAAATCATTTCGAAAACGACGTTTTCAAAGCAATTGTTTTATAACTCTAAAAGAAAAACAATAGATTTGCAAAAAACAAGAACAGGTGATGTCAAATTTGTACACATATATTTGATTTATTAACCGGATTTAATCTTCTTCATTGTCACTATACGTATTACAATCAGTAACGAGATACAGACACACACAAACATACAACAGATGGAACATAGGAGTTTTCATACGAACTGACCGCATTGCAAAACAAATAAACCGTATCTAATAAATCTACAAAGGACCCCCGTACCACTGCCAAAACCGGTAATTACACATTGGAAACTGTTTTTTCCCCGGAATGACTATAGCTTTGTTAAATCATTTCTGAAAAGAAAACCATACCTTGTTGGATGTATAAAGACAGCAGGGCTAGACCAGGATTCAACCCCTATATCTCAGATCGATAAACTATTGCGCTAACCGACTGAGCTACCTATTCAACGGATGTGCCTTGGCCCAAATGTGCTACAATTATATCAAAAACTAAATTAAGGGGAGGTTATTTTATATAAGAAAAACACAGTATAGTGGGACAGGGATCCTTGAAACCCTATTCTATCGTTACTAATGATAGCTTTTGATGCTTTCCTATTAAGCTCAACCACTACATACAGCTAGAAATCGGTAAGGATCTCGTTCACTCTATTTACAGTGTATTACTGAACACGACACTTTGAAGTCAATACAAAACTGTGACCCAAGAAGCTGCCTTGGAGATCACAAAATTCCATGTAGATCCACTTCATATCAAACATTTAACAAGAGGGATTATCTCACTCCACAAAAATAAATCTGTTTAATATATAGAAGTCCTGAATTTGTTATGGCGTTAAACATATGGATATCAAATAAATGTATAAGTATGTAGTCGTAACTTAAATTTTGTATCCAACGACTTATTTCATTTTCATTTTAAGAATTATGCTATATTATTTTGATCGACATATATACGACACATTATGTTGTTCTCTGGGAATCGTTATTAATTATATAAGGAGCAAGGCTATTATCAACCTCTTCACCATAGTCAGCTGTTTCTTCTATTCCTTCTTCTTCTGTCTCATAATATTCTTCATCTTGATCATCTTCCGTTTCAGGTCCATCTTCCCCACCAGTGTCATCCTCAGCTGATGGTTCCTGTTCTGTGGGTTCTTCTTCTTCAACTTCTTGTTCAGTCTCATCCGATTCCTCGTCTTTTGGTTCATCCTCTAACGATTCCTCGTCTTCTAGTTCTTCCTCCTCCAATTCCTCGTCTTCTGTTTCATCCTTTTCCGATTCTCCTTCTTCCGGCTCATCCTCTTCCGATTCCTCGTCTTTTGGTTCATCCTCTTCCTCTTCATTGACTTCTGTTTGGACTCTTTCCACTACGTCAACCTCTGGTTCTACTTCCCCGACATGAGGTTCGACTTCTTCCTTCTCTTGAACTTCTGGATCGATTTCCTCTATCTCAGGATCGACATCCTCCACTGTGTCAACTTCTTGTACGACCTCTTCTTCTTGATCATCCTCTGTCTCTTGCACCTCTTCATTTCCCTCTACCTCAGCATCCCCTTCAATTTCCTCTTCCTTCTCTTCTTCTTCCTCTTCTTCTTCTTCATATTCTTCTTCTTCTTCCTCCTCTTCTTCTTCATATTCTTCTTCTTCATCATCTTGTTCTTCTTCTTCAGGCGTTTCCACCGTATCAATATCGTTGCCACTGACTGGACCCACTGGCATATCTTCTATTTCAGGGTATGGAAACATGACTGCAAATGTAGGTACATTTTTCTTGGATAACCACTGGCTTTCTGCTGGAGCTGGTTGTCCGTCCTTAGTCATCATCATTACTGGTCCTGGCGTCTCGTCTGACGATTTTCCATAAAACATGGGAGCTGCTTGTCCGTCTTTAGTTGTCATCATCATTGCTGGTCCTGGCGTCTCGTCTGACGATTTTCCATAAAACATGGTAGCTTGTTGTCCGTCCTTAGTTGATATCATCATTGCTGGTCCTGGCGTCTCGTCTGACGATTTTCCATAAAACATTGGTGCTGGTTCGCCGTCTTTAGTCATAACCATCGCTGGACCTGGCATTTCGACTGACGATTTTCCATAAAACATTTGAGCTGGTTGTCCGTCTTTAGTTAACATCATTGCTGGTCCTGGCGTTTCGTCTGACGATTTTCCATAAACCATGGGAGCTTGTTGTCCGTCCTTAGTTGATATCATCATCGCTGGACCTGGCATTTCGACTGACGATTTTCCATAAAACATTTGAGCTGGTTGTCCGTCTTTAGTTGACATTATTGCAGGTCCTGGCATCTCGTCTGACGATTTTCCATAAAACATCGGAGCTTGTTGTCCGTCCTTAGTTGATATCATCATTGCTGGACCTGGCGCCTCTTCTGACGATTTGCCATAAAACATGGGAGCTGGTTCGCCATCCTTACTCATTACCATTGCTGGGCCTAGCATTGCATCCTTCCCTGGTATCACCATCATTGGGGCATCTTTACGTCCTGCCATTACATATCCCATTTCCGACTCAGTTAAACTTTCGGTTGGTAAGGGATTTGATTTAGAGTCCAAGAAATTTACGGGAGAACCAGTGTCCTGGTTGAATACTGGCAGTTTCGAACCTAACGGCGGTCCTGGTTGGTCAATGAAATCACCCAGATCATTAAGCTCAAGAGCTCCTTCCTCGCCGCTTGGACCGGCCTGTCCTGGTGATCCGGGAATGCCTATCTGTCCAGGATGGCCGACGGGGCCTGCTGCGCCAGGTTCACCAGGTTGGCCAGGAACCCCTGGTTCTCCTCTTCTCCCAACATCTCCAGGGTACCCTTGCCCTCCCATTGGACCAGGTACTCCCATATAACCTTCGGGTCCTTCTGCACCCTTTGCACCAGTCTCCCCTTGGTGACCTAGAAAGAGAAAACAAGAATCCAAAGTAATAACAATATTGATGTCTGGATGAAGGTCTACGAAGTTAAAAAGTAATTAATATTGACATTGAAATATAGCTCTGAAATATATTTCTGGAAAATATTTGTTGCCATAATAATACTTAAAATAACACGTTTTTTCCTAAATTTGTTGCTATAAAATATTGATGTCCTCTACGAAACTGTTATTATATATTCATAATCAAATGTGCATATTTTGTGCATATAATGATTAAAAGCATCTCATTAATCATGTTTCGTATTATGTACCTGCTGGACCAAAATTGCCCCTTTCTCCTTTGGCGCCTATTGGCCCTGGTGCACCCGGACTTCCGGGTGATCCCCAATCTCCCATCACTCCGGTGAAGCCAATCTCCCCTTTGCGCCCAGGTAAACCTGGTTGTCCAGGAGGTCCGTACGATCCAGCTACACCTTTCGGTCCATAATTGCCTGACACCCCAAGAACCCCTGGTGGACCAACAGAGCCCTTATCTCCCTTGTCTCCGTCTAGACCCGCCGGGCCCTGAGCACCAGGGCCCCCTGGAGCACCATCGTCACCTTTCTCGCCAGGCTCACCTGTAAGATAAATTTGTTTATTATATAATAACGAAATAAGAGCATATTCAATTGCTTTGCAATGATGCACACTATTGAACGTTGTATAATTAAAATGCTTAAAGATTATTTTTTCTCATGGACATTATTTTTTATTAATGTTTGAAACATTCTCTTTAATGATATATGTATATAACCTTTGTTTCATTTACAATAATTATGAAACAAATTATTTCATCTGATATCAATCACTCTTGTTGGCCTGGGTGTTTAGTGTTGGAGAGTACCCCGAGAAATCCTACGTAGTCAGACAGGTGACCCCATACCTTTTCACGTCCGATCGGGGAATTGAACCCAGGCCCCCTTGGTGAAAGGTAAGTGCGCTATCCACTGCGCAACCAGACCAACCATACCTTCAAACCTGCTTTCAAGACCACTTATTTTAAAAAAACACCCGTGTTAAGAGACCACTTTTGAAATTCGCCATTGAAGTTATTTTCATGTTAACTGAACCTGTTTTAAGTGACTATCTGTAATAAGAGACCTCATTATTGGCTTCACATAGTTTGTCTCTGAATACAGATTTCACTGTAATTGCCTTACCTGTAAGCCCAGCGTATCCTGGGGCTCCTCTTTTGTAGTACACTCCTCTCTTGACTCGACTGACCATGATGTGCTCATCTTTGGCTGAAAAAATAATAAGTGCATATCAAAATGATTGGTAGTCAATCAACCAGGGTCAAGAAGGCTGAAGTACTGATTGACAGGTAAACTACTTCAAATACATCAAAATGTCACGATATGAAATAACGAACACAGTTGTTCATTCTATAATCAGGTTTCAAATATACTAATTCACCCAATATATATTACTGATATCATATTTCATTTGGTGTTTATTTTGTCAAATAGTATCATACTTAAGCATAGAGTCATACAATCATAAAGTTGTATAACAGGGTAAACTTTGATACAACATTACAATTATGTAAAAAGCAAAACAATTTATGCCTACATAAATATTTAGTTATACGATTAAACTCTTACATATACAATCATACAGTATTATACTTATGTATCATACAGTCGTAAAGTATTACATTTATGCATGCAGTCATACATTATAACACTAATGTATGCATACATACAGTATTAAATGTAACAGTTATATAAACAGCCATACAGTATTATAGTTATGTATATAGCCATGCAGTATTATAGTTATGTATATAGCCATACAGTATTATAGTTATATATATAGCCATACAACATTTATAGTTATTTATATAGCCATGCAGTATTATAGTTATGTATATAGCCATACAGTATTGTAGTTATGTATATAGCCATACAGTATTATAGTTATATATATATAGCCATACAGTATTATAGTTATGTATATAGCCATACAGTATAACAGTTATATAGATAGCCATACAGTATTATAATTATGTATATAGCCATACAGTATAACAGTTGTATATATAGCCATACAGTATTATAGTTATATATATAGCCATACAGTATTATAGTTATTTATATAGCCATGCAGTAATATAGTTATTATATAGCCATACAGTATTACAGTTATGTATATAGCCATATAGTATTACAGTTATGTAAATAGCCATACAGTATTATAATTATGTATATAGCCATATAGTATTACAGTTATGTAAATAGCCATACAGTATTACAGTTATATATATAGAAATACAGTATTACAGTTATATATATAGAAATACAGTATTACAGTTATGTCTACAGCCATACAGTATTACAGTTATGTCTACAGCCATACAGTATTACAGTAATATATATAGAAATACAGTATTACAGTTATATATACAGCCATACAGTATAACAGTTATATATATAGCCATACAGTATTACAGTTATGTATACAGCTATACAGTATAACAGTTATATATTTAGAAATACAGTATAACAGTTATATATATAGCCATACAGTATAACAGTTATATATATAGCCATACAGTATTATAATTATGTATATAGCCATACAGTATTATAGTTATGTATATAGCCATACAGTATAATAGTTATGTATATAGTCATACAGTATTACAGTTATATATACAGCCATACAGTATTATAGTTATTATATAGCCATACAGTATTACAGTTATGTATCTAGCCATACAATATTACAGTTATGCATATAGCCATACAGTATAACAGTTATGTATATAGCCATACAGTATAATAGTTATGTATATAGTCATACAGTATTACAGTTATTTATACAGCCATACAGTATTAAATTTATGTAGACAAACATAATTAGCCATACAGTATACTACATAAGTATATAGCCATACATTATTACAGTATATAGAAATACAATACTACAGTTATGTATACAGCTATACAGTATAACAGTTATATATATAGAAATACAATATTACAGTTATGTATACAGCTATACAGTATAACAGTTATATATATAGAAATACAGTATAACAGTTATATATATAGCCATACAGTATAACAGTAATATATATAGAAATACAATACTACAGTTATGTATACAGCTATACAGTCTTACAGTTAAATATATAGCCATACAGTATAACAGTTATATATATAGCCATACAGTATAACAGTTATATATATAGCCATACAGAATACCAGTTATATATATAGCCATACAGTATAACAGTTATATATATAGCCATACAGTATTATAGTTATAAAATATAGCCATACAGTATTACAGGAATATATATAGAAATACAGTATTACAGTTATGTAAATAGCCATTCAGTTTTACAGTTATGTATATAGCCATACAGTATGACAGTTATATATATAGTCATACAGTATTATAGTTATGAAATATAGCCATACAGTATTACTGTAATATATATAGAAATACAGTATTACAGTTACGTATATAGCCATTCAGTATTACAGTTATGTATATAGCCATACAGTATAACAGTTATATATATAGCCATACAGTATTACAGTTATGTATATAGCCATACAGTATGACAGTTATATATATAGCCATACCGTATAATAGTTATGTATACAGCCATACAGTACTACAGTTCTGTATACAGCCATACAGTATTATAGTTATGTATATATAGCCATACAGTATTACAGTTATGTATATAGCCATACAGTATAACAGTTATATATATAGCCATACAGTCTTACAGTTATGTATATAGCCATACAGTATAACAGTTATGTATATATAGCCATACAGTATTACAGTTATGTCATTGGAAATCTACATTCATAGAGTATTGCACTTAGATGTCTTAATATCGATACCTATTTTACTGTGAAAGTTTACATAAGTATTTTGGCGGTGTGGAAAACTATAACACGTTTGAATGACATCTTGTCATAGGGTGATTTTAAATAATAAAGTAACATTTATCTGTGAGGCTTGTATTTCATTTAATTAAGAGATGGGGTGGTAATAAATCAGTGAGTATCATCAGAAAGCGCAGTTAAAAGATTTTGCATTAGGTAAAAATTAATGGGGCAATTAATTAATGAAGTGATAGTCAGACGCAGATGTGTTAACTAAAATGTATGAAGTAAGGTTTAGATTAGATAGATCACTTGTATCATTTAAAACCCGATCAACTCATATTAATACATGGTGGGTGGTTTTTTTTATCAAAGAATGCAGTTTCCACATTAATTCATTATTATTCATTATCGCAAAAATGTTGATTTATTATCATTCGAAATATATCTATATATAAATAAAGAAAAAATAATATTAACGACCGACTAAAAAACTAGCTGCTTTAACAACTTCGTGGCGTCACAATTACATGTCATCACACTACAAAAGTAACGTGACGTCACGAAATACACAAGATTGGTGGACAATTTAGCGTAAAATTTTACTGTGGCCTGTTGAGACTTGGTTTTAATATTTTGATTAGTTGGTCTTCTTTCGTTTCTCTTAAAATAGTGTCTGATGAAAATTGTTGATACAAAGGTAATACATTAAATTTATCTCCAGCACATTCATGAATATGTCTATATATAAATATATCTTTAAATACATCGAATGTGAATGGTGTGATAAGTAAACTGAAAATCAATTTACATGTTGCATACATATGCTGTGTGACAAAGGAAGGGATGTTTTATTGTTATAAACCCTTGTTTGTCTCTGACTTATGTGACAAACGCAAACATAACAATGAAACAATGAGGCATATAATCCCTAAAACATATCTGAATCCCTGCAGAATTACTAATATGTTCTACAATATTACAGCAAAGTTAGATTTTGGCCTTTTCTCCCGTGATAGACTTGTTCAGGTTCATGATAAGCTTGTCCATGTTATAGTGCTTTGCACAAGTGATGACGTCATACACTGGAACTACTTTTTACACATCTCATTAAAAAGTGTTGACAATCAATTTATAGTCATTAACTATGCAGTTAAAATAGTATTTTTCTCTCAAAATCGAATTATAAGACTGACAACCAATTTTGCCCTTTGCTTGGCGGATTAATACCGAAGATAACCAAACTTTCTCGGTCATCCAATACGTATCATATACCACAAGCCTAGAGTCACGTCCAATACGTGTGTGGTCTCGGGGTAGGGTCTACTTCATATTTATGTATATATATATCAAGTAATTGTTTCTTTACTAGATAGATAAACTTAAATATTGGAGCAATGTATCTTACCAATTATACGTCCATTATATTTATGGACATCTTAATGAATCGTTAACACATTTTGGACCTAGCAGTTGGGAAGACTATGACTCGCCATATAAAGTATCATGAACTCTAGGCGTTAAACAATCCGTGAAATGACGGAACGGGCATATAGATGCAAATGTAAAAAGAACAAATGCACTTTCTAAATTCTGTATGATTTTGAACAACTTGATAAATGTTTGGTGACTAAATAACCACGAAGTAAAATGACTTTGGAAGACAAATATTTAAGACACATGTCTTCAATACTTAATTACAAAAATTGAAATAGAAAACCGGTTTGTTTGTTTGTTTGTTTCTTTTCCACTGACGATTTTTTAGATATGTGCTTCTTTATGCTCCATGCATTAGTTCTAATGATTGTTTTGGATTTTGTTTAACCTTTTACATCATTTAGTTCTATTCTATTAATATTTCCTTTACAGTTGAACGTAACATCATAACATGTGGCTGCACCTTTAAAATTTGGTGATAAAATTACATTATTAAATTATCCTAGTAAGTTATATATTTTCTTTTATAAAATTGCTATTTATCTCCTAGCAAAATGTTAAAGTCTATGACCTAGCGTATGCGCGTGCGTTTTCAATGGCACAGAGTGAACTATAGATGTTAAAATATTTAATTGAAATTTGTATACAATGGGTTTTCATTTGTAAAGGACAACTAAACAGGTTCAATCATTTACGCAATTGCTAAGATCACTAAGACATTATTTTATTCAGTAAATATAATTCATTCAAGACATTAGTTTGATATTCAATATTGATCATCGCTTTTGTCGCTTGATTAGATATTGTAGTTTACTTGCCTAAAATTGCTTTGATCAGAAGAGATTTCGTTTAATTGAAGAAATGAACTTTATTTCTAACATTAATAGTTCATGTCAAACATTGCAATCAATCTTTACTTTGGGACGATAAATCTACTGCAGACGGTAACAATTGAGACAAATAGTAAAAGAACTTTTATTTTCAAGATGATTTTTTCTCTATACAAATTGTCATCATTTTAAACAAATCGTAGTTTTTCATACAACTGGTATTTTCGTTTCAGAAATAAAAATAAAATATAGAAATAACAATGATAAAGAAAGCCTTTACAAAGTATTTGAATCACATTTTTGCCCAAAAGATTGTGATGACTAGTGTTGTATGTACAACGGGCAATGCATAGCAATCAATGATACAACATCAGCCTTCAGCAACACAAATACAAGTGCAATGCTTCATGCAAAAACTAAACGTGATAACGCCAATAAAAAAAGGTAAGACATGTTCGGAAGCCAATTCGTTTTTACGGCTTGTTTGGGGCTTCAGTCTGTTTGATCTCAAAATAAGCTATTTCCTTGTAATTTATTATTTCAAACTAAGGTACATATATATAAGTAACGGACATATGTGTAGTGTCTTTGTCATTCTATACTAATCTAAGGGAATAACGAACTGTGACTTCCACTAAACAGTAAAGGAAATGGCGATATCTTCAATTTGAACCAAAGGTCATCTTGATAGTCAAAACACTGATAATTTTTCACGTAGACAAAAGACGAGAGGTCAGAAAACCTTATCCAGATTGCAAATGCTATTTTGGCAAACTGCTCCATTTGGGGAAAAAAGAAGCAGTATAACCTGTTTGGAGACACACAAGATAGATAAAAGGTTGAAACAGGAAATACTGCAGAGTGCAGCAGACAGACGGATAATCAGGACGGTTTCCTACCTTCTTCCTGCGAGACTTCCTCTCGCACCTTGCTGATCAGTTCTTCTATGTCCTTGAGTTGCTGTTCAAAGTTGTTTATACCTGTCACCAGTTCGTCTGATGCAGTGTCCTGTTGGACTCGGAAGGCGACACAAATTCCGAAAAGGACCACAAAGAGGACACCCCGTGTATACATTGTGGTTACGAGTGCTGTGATGTACATATGCAACTGTAGAATGAACGAAACTGTGAATAAAATAAGTTTAAATGGATATTTTTGAATTAGTTTAAAGTGCGATCTCACTAACTTATCTTTGTACGAATTACTTATGTATGGCGGAAGGAATTTAGCGGAAAACTCCAGAAGTTTCCACACAATCTTTTAACACACATGGCTGGCCTTAATTCAGTCAATGGGCTACGGTCAACTGCAGAAATTGGGATCTACACCACGACGGAATCTTATATGAAGGGTTCACTGAAAGAGATAGGCTTAAGTAATTATCACGATAACATTTAAGGAGGTGGGATCTGCAGATGTAAGGGGTTTGCATTTATCTACTTGTTTCCCGTTCTAGCAATGACTCAGTTCATTGTATTGCATCAAACAACTGTCTGAGAGTATCTATCGTGAAACTGATAACACTGATACAGTGAATCACTGTTTATGACTAGATATGATTATTGGTTAAAAAAAGCTCCCAATTATCTGGCTTATGCTGTACGTTGCTGGCAAAGTGTTTAACCCTACATGTGCCTCGACCCTTGGAATTTGGCCCAGAGGTTTAGGTGTCGCTCCAATTAATTTGAACGTGATATCATAAAGATACACAGTTTATACTCGTACCTAATTTCAAGTGTTTTTAGTTCCTTGTCTTTGTGTGTGTATCACCGAACCAGTCGACCGCAATAGCCCATGAGTGCCGTACTTATACCAATTTATCATTATCATCAGTTCTAATACTAAATACCTCAAGAGTGAAATGAATGCCGACTTATCCTAACAAATCGTAGCATATCACCGAACCAGTCGACCGCAATAGCCTGTGAGTGCCATACTTACAACAGTTTATCATTATCATCAGTTCTAAAACTAAATACCTCAAGAGTGAAATGAATGCCGACTTATCCTGAAAAAACGTAACACAGTTCATATTATAAATAGCATATCTTTAAAAGAAAGAAACCCTTCTTGAGTGTCATAAAAAAGCGTTGCCTACCTCCAATCATTGGCGTTTCAACTTGAAATAGAATGAATACATTACCATTTGTCGGAGTGACTTTATGAAATAAACAAAAACAAAACACCAACAAAGAAATGCATTGCAGCAGTTAGTCAAATATATCTTTACGGTATTACATTTATTTTTCAAATTTATAAACAAAAGATATTACATGCTATGTATACAAATTGATTGTTCTGATTATGGAAACACTTATACATGTACCCTTATAATACGATAACCTCATTGAAAAATCTATGAAAATAACTATCGCTATGAAAACAAAAATATTTTTTTACCTGGTATTGATGATAATTTTATTGATGGCGAAACGAGACGCTGAATTTCAACCTAGAATATGTTTTATCTATTTAAATTCATGATGCAAGGAGATTGAATGTGCCAGTATTTTTTATGATCATCGAAAAACAAAAACATGAAAATTCTTCCATAATGTCAGATGGTTATATTTTGAAACTTATATTTTAAAAAATTCTTTGCTTCGAATAACTTGACCTGGATGATATATACCTGTAATGATGTTTTTGGACTGAGCTTAAACACAATATAAAAACAACTCTCAGAAATGCTTTTTGTTGTTTTAGAAATATCTTCCTACGGTAAAGAACCTTCATTTCGCGAGGAACAATCTTTTGCGATTAATATGTTACAAGAACCAACCGGGAAATAATATGTTACGCAAATCTTTACTCGCAAACAGTGGGAAAATATCTGTTATTGTTTTTCCTTGAATTTTAATCATCGCAAAGCTATCAAAAGATTTACAAAATGTTTAAGTCATTTAAAAAAAGCCCATTGAATAATTCTCAGCCAGTCGTTGACCGTAGTTCCTGTGAACGTAGTTGACCGTAGTGCCGCTAAGGTCAACTAGGTTGAGGTAGGTTCAAAATTGGCAAAAGAGGAAATATAAAGAAAGTTGAAGTAGTGTCAACTACCTTAAACTACGAGGAAAATGGCTAGGGTTAACTAGGGTCGCGCTACGTCTAACTACGGCCAACTACGTTAAACTACGAGGAAAATGGCTAGGGTTAACTAGGGTCGCGCTACGTCTAACTACGGCCAACTACGTTAAACTACGAGGAAAATGGCTAGGGTTAACTAGGGTCGCGCTACGTCTTACTATGGCCAACTACGTCAAACTACGTGTGAACTACTTTAAAGGACGCACAACTACGGTTAACTAGGGTCACAACCGCGTTGAACTACGGTTAACGGCCGCGGGTACCACGGTCAACTTCGTGCGTGACCGTAAGATGTGACCGCGTAAGAGTAAAGGTGGAAATCAAAATTGGTTTAAACTAATGCTGATACAGAAGAGGAGGTACGTAAAACCCATTAATTAAATGAATTTAAAAACAATAGAGGAGTACCGGTTAATTTCAAATTAAAGTAAATTGTGTATATAACGAACCACGCCCTCGAAAGGGATAATTGCGGCCATTAAGGTTATGGCAACCCTCTAAGACTGTCTGAGTTATCCACAAGCAGCGTCTACCACCTTGTACATTAGGAAGATGAATGTTAGACACACAACATGATTGTAGCATGCTAAAACTGACTTACACTGCACCACACCGCTGTTTTATCGTTCTAGGACTCATTGGTGACGCTAGGGGGCCAAAAAGGTTGAACGTGCTCTTTAAAATATACACGATAGCATGTAAAACTAGTTTTTGTAAAGACGATGTACTGATCACATTCAAAATCATGAAATACAGTAACAACAGACACGTAAATCTCTTTTTAACCTAATTATACGTATAGGGTTTCAATGCGGCTATCTCGTTCTGTAGTCTAGCCAAATTGGTATCATTTAAACAACTATTCCATAAAAAAACTAATTATTGAAGATAAATCATATGTAATACAGTAAAAGAAACGAAGCAGAGCCGACTTCAAAGGGGCACATTATAAAACAGAGTACCAGATCTCGGAAATATATTTGTGTTTTCAATGGGAGTATCACTTTCCCACAGTCCACCGAATCTGATTGCTCAGCACGCACCTTGCCCCTCTCATTTGATTAACTCTACGGTTTCTCCGCCCTTAAACTAGAGTAGGTCGAGAACGTTAGCCAGGTTGTTGCGTGTACTAGGTTTCCAAAAGCGATGAGTAGTTATTTTTTCTACACCCATTCCAGCAACCTGTTCATAATTGTGCACGAGTTGTATACCTGCCATCTGTGTTTAAGTCTCAATATCTGTTAAGTATAAAGTATAATTTGATTTTTAAAAAGTTTTTTTTACCATTGTTTTCCTTCGTGAAATAACCCATCTTTACGAGCGTAGTATAACGAATTAAAACCAGATGCAAATCGATCAATTTGTTTGAATAGCTGCATTATTTAAATAAGGCTTCAAAAACTTCTAAAGCACAAAATAAGATTGCAAGCGAACTTTGCTATCTTTTATACAAAAGAAACAGCAAATTTTATGACCTTCTAACAGATAGTACGCTAGGAGTTCTGACCATTAAAGTTATTATTAGAAAATACGAAGACAGTAAGCACTTATTAAAAAAAATTAGCAACCTCGTTGCACAAAAACCAATTTTTGCAAATTTGTTTCCCGGTCCGATACCGCAAATTTTTAACCCTACAAATTAATATAATCACAAAATTATAAAACCATATCAATTTCTTTCGAGTGAGTAACAAAATTAAAATGTAGTAAAAACCGATACAAGCCCATTGCAAAATGACACTTGCTTTGTGATGTATGATTAAGTTACAAAGGGTTCAAAAAGTGACTTTCTTAAGAGATCAGGGCAAACACATCACACATTTCGTTATGAGAAAACAACCTGGAGTGCTTAGTCAAAGACCTATCTCTGACTGCACATCTGTAATCAAACGTTTAGGCGTAACAGAAGAAATTAGTGAGGGTATTTCAATACATTACATGACTCTTAGTACATCGTAGTACCAATGTGCTGACGCACATGCACAAATGCATATGATGTTAAGGATGCATATTAAGGATCCCTGTCCCACTGTCTGCGGACATTACTTCCCCTGATTTCGCTTTTGATATAACTGTAGGGTGAGGGTACCTTAAATGGAGCGGTACTCAAAATAGAACACTTTTAATATGTATGATACAGCATTATTTGTTTTTCATTAACAAGGGGGTATGGTATGTATTCCTAATCAAGATTTCAATAGTTTTATGCATTTTGAGCAAAATCCATATGCCTACCACTTAAACATTGCTCATAAACTCAATATTTAAATATTAAAATAATGAAATGAAAAACAAATCCCGGAAACGATATGGTGCGACACCATAAATATCCTATCAAATTTCTAAACATGGAAAACTATATGTTCAAATAAATATTAATATATATTAAATGACTAAAATTTGTCAGAAATTTGCAAACCCTTTTTGAAACGAAGACTTATATGATCAAGTGCTCCATTTTAAGTACTCGACCAGCTTAAAATTCCAAGTGAATCTGACTCACTTTAATGAGCTCTAGAAATAGACGCATGCGCTGTTGATAACCAAGAAATACATAAAATGAAGGCTAAAGACATGTATTGTTTCATTACAGTGAAACATTTGGCCTTCAGAAACTTTACAGGAAATATTAATAATTTTCTTAAAAAAGTGTTCCATTTTGGGAACCCTCACCCTAACTCGATTGTGGTAATGCCGCCGCTGATCAGGTAGCTTGGTTGGTTGGTAAGAGGAGGAAACCAGGGTTCAAATCCTGGTCTGGCATGTTGCATGTAAACACTTAGATTATCTGTTTGTCTGTTTTATTTCTTCTTTGTTATCTATTTATTCTTAACAGTTCTTTTAGTTATTGTGGTTCTTTATTTTTAATTAGTTGTCAAAGCTATAGTTTTGCCGTAGAACGTTCCTTGATTCACAGTTACAGCTTTTAGCAGTGTGAAACAGGGATCCTTAAATTTCAAAAAAAGCAGATTTTTACTAGTTGTCAGCGCGTTGCTCAAAGTGTTAGTTTTGCAAGTATTGTTGGCTCTAAACTATCAATGTTGAGACATAGGGTAAATGTCAGGTTACTGATG